TCCACTAAAGGCTTGCACTCTGCCAATGCAGCTACATATTTACATATGCTAATACACTCATACATATTTATATGTAGTATTTTACGTGTGTGTATGTATGAGTGCATTTTATGCAGGTCACATGCATTATGCCGTCTGATAATTTCATTCAAACTGCATCAGTTGTACATACTCTCTCTAACGAAGCGAAAGCCAAGCGTTCACCGAAAGCGTCGCACATTTCACTGCCAAATCGAAATTCTCAAGAACCCGCGCAGCGTTTACTTCACGAATATTGTGTGAATATTTTCTATTTATTTGCTGTCAAATTTTACATACTTCTTGTGTCATTTACGACTTCCCGATGCATGTGTGTGTGTGTGTGTGTTTTATATTCGCCAACAATTTCAGCGCGCTTTATTTGATCAATATTTCCAATTTTCACCACAGTATTTTATTACGCGCTTCGTTTACGCCATTCCGCGCTCGTCGAACCCCACCCACAACAACAACAGTCCAGTCTAATGCCAGGCAATCGCGTGACTACTCGCATAAAATCCGCATAAAAAATCATCTTCAAATACTTACCCAACAAACATAAAAGCAGTACACAGCCTTTGAAGAAAAATCTGTGACAAAATAATACAAAAAAAAAATTTTAGGAAAAAAAAATAACTTTGAAAATCGTTTTAGGAAAGCAAAATGTGTTAGCCCTTTTAAGCATTTCATTCAACAATTGCATGTAGCCCTATTGGTTGACAACCAAAAGCCTAATTGGGTGCATACATATCTACATCCGATGCAAGCGTGTAAAAATGTAAGTGTAAACAATATTTATTAATTTTTTTTTTTTCTTTTCACTACCAATGCACCGACGCCTTAGCAGTTTGTCAATTGCCGCTGATAGTTGCATTTGATTTATTCACTGCGCTGCATTTCCTTCCGCCAAAACGCCGACACCTGTGCAAGTGAATGTGGCAAATAAAAAGGGTGATTTCGTACCGTTAAATTGTTATTGCTATTGTTGTTGTTAAATTTTATACTGACTCGTTTACTGTTTATAAACAAAGTTCAGTAAACAAATAATGAGGAAGCAAGCGACAGAAGCGCATAATCAAGTGTCCTTCCGTTGCCACTGGTTGCCACCCACATTCACTTCAGTTGTGCTGTATTTGTGGCGCGTTTGTTTTAGTGAATGCGTGGTCGCGAGTTCCTTTCAACGATGCGTAAAAAATTATAAATTAGTCAAATAAAGCGAATAAGAAAATATTTGTGTGTGAAAAAGTCGTGAAATTATACCATATTTCTGCTGAAGACAATTAAAGAGTAATTTAAGTTAAAATATATGTACGTACAACTGTGTTGAAGCAATGAAATAAACGTTAAGTTTTTTATTAAATATTTTCTAACTGTTCTACGTGTCACTGCTACACTTTATCCTTTCATCTTTTGCTTTTGTTACAACATCAAACAGGGTTCGTTATAGTTTTCCAAATCAAACTTATAAGACAAAGGAGTATGGCTCTTTGTTTGGCTTTGAGAATATGTTTGTTCTTCATATAATCCAGGAAATGCTTTATAGTTGTACGACAATTCATTCTTAAATTCACCGAATGGTAGAATATATTTATATCCTGAACAGGGTAAATTAAGTTTAGAACTAGTTTCTCAGTTTTTGAGATATCAATTGAAATTTTGCACACGTCCTTTTCTCTCCAAGAAGCTAATAATTTGTCGGAACCTCTGATATCGGATTATTATAGCATATAGCTGTCATAGAAACTGAATAATCGGAATCAAATGCTTGCATGGAAAACTTTCTCATTTGACGAGATAGCTTCACGAAATTTGGCATGTATTATTTTTTAAGGCAATAATACAATATCCGAAGAAATTTTTCAGATTGTATCAGTTTAGCATATACATAGCTGCCATACATAGTGCACGATCGGAGTCAAGTTCTTGCATGGAAGGGTGTTATAGCTTCGGTGCAACGGAAGTTAACGTTTTTCATGTTTTTATTAAAACCAAACATATTAATTCGTTTATTTTCTTCAGCTATATGACATATCTGTTAGCTCTTGACACATCTGACTTTTTAGAACCACAAAGAACGAAAAAAACTAAGTATCGCGCTTCTTATTCCGAGCAAATAAAGAGTATTCAAATCGTACCAGAAAAGAAGAATCCTTTAGAACCAATTAATTATATTTATTTAGAATTTAGCATATTGCAGGGGAAAACAAGTTTGACAGCCGTTCTAGTCAGCCCATGCTAGACTCATTTTTTCAGCAAAAGTCCCTACCATTTTCTGCTACCTCAAGGTGGCACCCCATTAAAGACTCAGAGTTAGAGAGAATCTTTTGCTGCTAAATCGATCTGTGCTAATACTTTCATAAAGTTCGGACAGTTCACTATTTCATCTTTTAGATATACAGCATTGCCAGCCCTTATAAAAGAATTATAATTGATCAAGTATCGTCATTGCCCATAACCAGTTACTTTCCACAAAGTGTATGGCAGTATCTCACAGAGGTGAGATTGAGCCACTAAGATCACTAATATATTCAAACCTTACATTTTTTTTTTGAAGTTATCTTAAATCAAGAATTTTTCACATGCTGAGTTTTGTGATGCAGTGTTATTAAAAATTAAAAAAAATATATATATACATAAATCCTGTACAAAAAATTTGGCTTTTATAGATATTTAAGTACCAAAAAACCATGAACAAAAATCAAAGACTATTAAGAGTATCTTTGATTTTTAAAAATATCTGTAAATTATTTTTCTAAACAAACTTTACTGAATGTTATTTGCCACCTAAAAGATCCCAAATTTTTCTGGAAATTTTCGAACAATGGATTCAAATATATAATACAGTCAGGTTCTGGAAAACGAGTGAAAGTGTAAATAAAAATGAATACAAAAACGAGTGAATTTGGTTTTGTTGTTCTGAAAAACAAGAAATTTGTTTATTTTCGTTCTCGTTTTTATTCTGTCATACAAATTAATGAAAGTTTTCAAATTATTCTAAAAATAAAATACATCAAAATAATAAAAAGGCTGACTCTATTCATCCGGTTACTGTACGAATAATTTTTATTTATTTATCCGGTTAAAATTATTCATAATTCAATCGCGTCAAACTCCTTTTTGCTATTCGCCCGTAAAATACGGTCCTTAAAAAAAAATTACCGGACTAGTAAACACAGAAAAATACCTGCTTATTATCCGGTTCATTCTTAAAATAAACAAAAAAAAAACCGAATTTGACCGGATGACTAATTAGAAATTATTCGTACAGTACCCGGACTAATAGTCACTGGGAATAAAAAATTAGATTAATTAAGTATACGATATATTGTTATGGAAGATGAGCTGAATACAGAAGAAACTATTGATCGACCCGATGACAAATTGGCTTAAGAAAACTTCTTTAGAAAGAAATATATTTTTCTGGTACACCATGTAACGGGTGTTTTTTAAACATGTGGTTTTCAATGAGGCAATACTTTTTTCGGCATTGATCTTTTTAACAGCTGTTACTTGATTTATATTAAGAGGTGTTTGCCATTATGTGATGGACAGATTTACTCCGAAACAACTTTAGCAAATTATGCAAATTTATGACCAAAATAATTGTTCGGTTCGCGCAACGCATCGCGCACTGCTCCCAATATTCGGTCGTCATAATTGCCCAGCAGAGTAGGTAATTCAAGCAACCAGGGATCGGTTTCGCACCACGTTTACTCTAGTAGAGAATACGCATCCCCCAGGACGTCGTACAGTGCGCAACGAAGACGCTATTGGGACTGTGGAGCGAACTATCGATGAAGACCCAAATGAGTTCATCCGCCATCACGAGCGAACAATTGAAGCTGTGCCAATCGACTTTATGAAAGATTTTACGGAAGCATCTTGATTAGCGAGCTTACAAAATCCAACTCGTTCAAGAATTGAAGCCGAATGAGCATCACTCGAATTGTTGCAAAAAGTGGTCGAAAATTGAGCCTCTCGGCTGGAATTTATTTGTGCCAGCCGCGACGGACACTTGCCCGAATTGATTTTTAAAAATAATGACAAACACTTATCTTTTTAATAAAGCTGAATTCTTAGCCATAAAAATTAATTATTATTAGCGTTTTGTTTCTTCTTAAAAACCACATGTCTAAAAAAGACACCCTTTACATAAAGTAAAATTTTTTTTCTTGTCTCACCTCAAATTTAATATAAAAAAAATAAAAAAAATTGAGAAACTCATCTGTTCTGATTTTGATTTCCTATGCGAGATCAAACTTTGCGAAGTGTCTCATCATTCATATTAATATAAATCGCAAATAAATTGGTGATTTTTGTTACTTTGATTCGCCCACACTAAGTCCACTGCTTTGTGTGTGTATGAGTGAGGTATAGAAATGTGTACAATAAAAATGCAATTACGCCACAAGTCATATAATACAACAAAAGTGTATACCACCATTGTAACATACTGCGCCGATCGGAAAGTATTTCAATTAAAGTTGAAAATTTGGAATTCGACATTTGATGTGCTTTCGTATACCGACAATTGTGCGAGTTACACAGATTCGCTGGCAGAAAAGCCAACGCGACGTTCTTGCGGCGTCCCTAGCGACGGTGTCAGGCGTCATGGGAACGCGGGGCTTTACGCCGGAACACACCGAATGGGTGGGCAAAACAGAATGCCAGAATGCCAAGATGAATAGACGAAGGTAGCAAAAAATACCTGCAAAAGTTTAATTTCATAGCAACACCCCAGGTGAATCGGCAATTGGAAGTCATCATTAGCAACACCCGCACTTCCGCCAACACACATACGAGCGCATAAACACTCACCCACTCGGTTGTGCGAAATATGTGCGCACTTTTAGGCGCATAACGCTTTTGTCGCTATAAGTTTTATTTTGTAAATGCGCAAAATTTCATTTATTACATAATTTTCATATGTGCCTCTTATTATTATGATGCCACACTCAAATGCATATACTTTATCTTTACAGATGTAATCTTCAAAGAGAAACTACCAAATAATTTGAACAAACAGTTGCCTTCATTTATGTAAACTAAGATCTAGTCAAGAGTATTTTAGCACAAAACCACAAAATAGAGCTCAAAAACACAGCACCTAAAATAATTTATATACACACAACAACTTTATACACACTATACATATAGTACGAAACGAAATTAGTAATAAAGAGTAGAAAATAATTAACCAGAAACTAAGAGCAAACATTGAAAACGAACACGAGTGCGTGTTGTTAACAGATATTATGACCACACGACTTGCAACACAACGAAACTTTATACTCTCAACAACTGCGAATGTGGCGCCAAATGTTGTCGATGCCACTGCAGCCACATCCGGCGTCAACGCGACCGTAGACGATGTCAATGTTGCAACCGTGAACGTATTGTCAACACGTGATATCAAACATGAGGAGATTTCCACCGAAATCGCAAATGCTTGCTCATCCTCATCGAATGTCGAGCACTTTGAATACATCGATGCGACGGTGGACGTTGTGGCCACAGCCAATATGGAGGATGTCATCACACAAGTATGCAACCCTAAACATTTCCATTACATTCATTTGCGCTACACACATAGTATATACATTTCCGGAACGCTATAAATATTGTTTCAATTGTTAACATTTTGTTTTGTTGCAGCAAAACAAACTGGTGGGCAATGAACAGAATGAAGCCGTGGCTCTTATCAGCGTTGTGGTGCCGATGGATGCCTCCGATTCCACTGGCAGTGAGACACATGTCAATATGTCCGATTTAAGTGCAATTAAAGATAACACTGACTTGTCACAACATGTGGCCAACGGGCAAGTAACCCTAGTGCAGGCGCAGACAGCGGACGGTGATGAAGGCACACCACAATACATTACCGTTACAGGTGAGTTGAATAACTCAAATATTAACTCTATTGAGAATTAATTCCAAAAAAAATTTTAATAATCAAATTGTATTAAGTTGAAATGTGTCGCCCTTTACAAAATCTTTAAATATTTCAAACTTTTAAGAAGCACATCTAGTGTGACAGCCTACAAAAGGCGATTTATAGAAATATGAAAAACAAAACTGAAGTATCAATTGTTTTAAAATTTTAAAGGTATATTACATAGTAACATTTTTTAATAAACAAGCACTGTTGACCTACTCCGTAGATAAAACCTAAAAAAAAAATTTAATCTTTACTAGAAGATATTGTCCGTACAATGACCTAACATTAAAAAATCACAAATTGCCAAAACTCGGCGTTTTTAAAATAAAAGTTGAAGTTTGTCCAAAACTTGTGTCGTTTTTGAGCTGCCAAAATTCCATTTTTTATCAGACGAGATCTTGAAGTTCATTGTATGAAGAACTTTATACAGAACATGTCGGAAAAGTTGAATGTGATCGAATCCCTTTGTTCTGGATTATTCACTGAGGCAAATTTGAAAAATGTTACTTTGAAAAAAACTGAAATTAAATATAAACTGATGAAACTGATTGAACTGAACGGCTACACTTAAGAAGGCCGTAACTCAAAAATTATTTCAGATATCGATTTAAAAGTTTAGTATGTTATTTTTAAAAGCGCTTAAATCCATAAAACAAATGATAATTTACTCATAATTGATTAATGGAATACTTATTCTTCAACTTGGAGTTTATTGTTGTACGATAAACCACAAATATGTACTCGTATGTGTGATATAACGATTATTCTGTTAGTAGTTAGTTAGACTTTGTTATACGTACTATTGTTGTTGTTGTAGTAGCGGCAGAAAAAATTCATGTAGTAATTTCGAGTAATGCTGCCGAGATGACAGTCCTTGGCCGGATAAACATCCGGGTCCGTTTCGGTTACTTATACCCGACTGTCGCGTAAACGGGAACCTATTCGTACTACTAATTATTATCAGTTATATCAAAAATGTATTCTACCAAAGAGTATTGAATTTATTTCCCACTTTTGGACCCTTATTTTCAGAAGATTCTGTACAGCAATATAAAAGTTTTAGAATCGAATTTTCTTTTCAAAAAAATAATTGCTACCAGATATGTTAAGAAATATTCAAAAAGTCCGACCTTTATAAAGGCGGTATATAGCAGTACAATTCCTGATCAGCGCGACGAGCTGAGAAATATTAGCCTTGTTCGTTTATATGTCCGTTTGTCCGTCCGTCTGTTTGTCTGTATATAAGCGAACTAGTCCCTCAGTTTTTGAGATATCGATTTGAAATTTAGCACACATCCTTTTATACCCAAGAAGCTGTGCATTTGTCGGAATCTCCAATATCGGATCAGCATATAGCTGTCATACAAACTGAACAATCGGAATCAAGTGCTTGCATGGAAAACTTTTTATACCTTGAACAAGATATATTCACGAAATTTGGCATGGGTTATTGTCTAAGGTAATGGTGCAATCTCCGAAAAAATTATTTAGATCGGATTGCTATAGGATGTAGCCGCCATACAAACTGACCGTTAAAAATCAAGTTCTTGGAAAACATTTTTTGTATTTATGAAGGGTATCATATTTGATAAGATATCTTCACGAAATTTACCGTGGATTATTGTCCACATGTTGTTCAGATCGGACATATACCATACATACTTAGCTGCCATACAATGAAGTTCTTGTATGGAAACTGTTTTTGTTTGTGAAGAGTATTATAGCTTGAGTGCAATCGAAGTTAAAATTTTTTTTTTTTTTTTAATTTCCTCCAAGAATGATTAGAAAGTATGTAAATTTTTAGTGTTTAAATTTTTTCCGCTACTTTTTCATTTTTCAAAGCTTTGTGTGTAATCTATGATTTTCAAGCAATTATTCAAACATTTTAAGTTATACTTGGTAATTCTCTTTATACCCTACTAATGAGACCAGCTGCAGTAGCCCACTAACTGTTATATAGCACCCGTCTTAGAACCAGCGAAAAGTTAAACAAACAATTACCAGCGAAGCATTAATTAATCCGAACAGTAACTTTGATCTGGAATACACTTGCCGTAGCCAAACGTATTGCCATCAGTCGACGTAACTCCCGCTTCGTTTCATCCGTTATTTGGTTGTTTGTATCTACTTACAAATGTTTATAGATATGTAAGTGTGTGCGTGTGACTGTCAGTTCGGTTTGCTCATTGTTGATATCACAATTAAAAGGACTTAATTTGTAATGAATCTTACCTGCAACAATCGCGCTGCAGGCTGCAAAAACGTATACGGCGCACGTGTGGCAACAACACCGTCGAGTGGTGTAGAATGACACAAATGTATCTCACTTTGCACCGCAGCGCCATGCCCATGCTGCGCCGTGAAGGGTTACTCTATTTGTTATGACACCAAGCTGATAGTGATGCGGTGGGCTACGTACATACACATCGGCGGTTCATAGGTCTCTGCAAGCGTGTAATTATTATATTTTTATTTCCCAAATACCACATTGCCTTTGTCCCTGCCAGCATTCAACGCACGATGTATCATAGCTGTATCATAGTCTAGCGGTTTCGTACATATCAGTGGCATAAAACCTTCAGGTACGCGCGCTGGCTAATATTCACATACAACGTTGCATCTGTAGATATATTAGAGCGGGTTGATTTACAGGAAGCCAAAAAAACGGACAAATCGCGTATGCGGCAAATATTCTACGGATTATTCTGAACATCTTTGCCTAAGAAAATATGGGTCGGTGGTTTCAAGCCAGCGATTTTTTAAGTGAAGTTTTTTTTTGGGATTATAAAAATTGCATCGTCAGTTTTTGAGTTATCCAAATGAAATTTAATACATGATAATACATTTGAGATGCCATTGATTATTTGTCGGAATTTGCCAGATCGGACATCTATTTTAAATGTATTTTCATAAACATTTTTAAAGTTGATGCTGCATGCGAAAAATGTTTTCCATTTCATGAATTATAAATTTCAATTAAAAACTCTATGAGACAAGAAAAAAGTCGTTTGTATGGGAGATATACATATGTTATAGTTGTCAGATTTTCTTCATTTTCACTGTCGTTGTTAAGTATATTTTATTCCGACAAATGTTCAATCAAATCTCAAAATGCATCGAATATCTCAAAAATTCACGATAAAATTTAATAATACCGAAAAAAAAACTTCACTTAAAAAATCGCTGGCTCGAAACCGGTTTTAGACGCATATTCTAGCAGCCACAGAACTTCAGAATTATTATTATAATTATAACATATACATTTTTTAGAAAATAAATCGACCCGCTCTAATGTGTATGTGCACAATCGCGCAGAATATGTGTATTGGCCGGCCTCACCCTCCCATGTTATGATGTTGCTGAACAAGCTAGAGAGATTTGTTTAATAAGGGTTTCGCGATTTAAACACGATAATTGTTGTTGGCACACTTTTGTATGTTTTGTAGTCTTGTCTGTATGTATTTGTATGTTTGCATACATACATATGTTAGCTGTGTTGTTTGGCACTTCTCAATCAATATTGTTGTCAGTGATGATACTTGATTTTATTACAAATCTCCAACCCATCAAATTATACGCACTTTTTTGATGTTCTGTAGTTGGTAACTGATAGCGCTGCCCTCGGCGCGCACATTGACGGAGTAAGGTGGCGAGTGAGCGTTTCGTCGACTCGCTAATAACCTCCCGCAGTGCGCTGTTTTTCGTTTGTTGTTGTTGCTTTGGATGATTATGCTGAAAACTTACCTACAAACAAAGCGGAAATATTTCACCTTTGTCCAATAAAAGACGATTTGTTGACAGCAAATAGGAGTAGCACAGTGGGATATTTGTTGAAAAAAATTATATGTAATTTTTTAATAAATAGTGATCGGAATATACATATATGTAGCTTTGGCATATCCAAGTCAAACCATATCAACATTTTAACGTATTTCTTTGCATCCAGACAGCTTTTGTGTTTATATCTAACGGTTATGTTCACCAGTAACCTTTAAACAAGTTTATTCGTCACAGATTTCAAAGCATTATATGCCTGAATTGACTAGTTAGTAGCTTTTAAAATTAAAAAAAGGAAGAAATTCATAGTAGGTTGAAACCTATCGAAAACGAAAGATAAAATAACAGACATTGAAGTAAAAATAATTTATTGGCGATCTGAGAGTGGGAAAAGGAAGGGGGGGGGCTTGCTCAGCCCCTAATAGATTTAATGTGCATATCTCCTAAACCGCTAATGCTATAATAACAAAATTCACTGGAAGCAAATGTTTTTAGAACCTCTACCTACAGTGTGAAAATAATTGAAATCGGGTGGCAACTCCGCCCACTTCCTATATAACGGTACTGTGAAAAACTATTAAAAGCTAAAAAATTAGTCAGTGGGCGTGGCACCGCCCACTTTTAGGTGACAACCCATATCTCGGCATCTGCTTAACCGATGTCAACCAAATTCGGTGCATAACGTTCTTTTCATGTTTCTATGTCACAGTGCAAAAATGGGCGAAATCGGACTACAACCACGCCTACTTTCCATTTAACACCATTTTAAATTCCATCTGATTATTTCACTTTCCACTATGCATATCAAGCAACAATTATTATATCGGGGTAAAACTTTGCGTGAATAATGCGATTAAAGTATGCCACCTTGTGACCAAAAATTGTCTAAATCGAACCAAAACTGTTCAAGCCCCTCAGTACTAAATATGTGGACCCCAGTGCCTATAGTTGACCTTCTACCAAAAAATATCAATCAATCCACAAAGAAATTTCAAACGAGTATACCATTTGACTTTGCGAGAGTATAAAATGTTCGGTTACACCCGAACTTAGCCCTTCCTTACTTGTTAATATTCAATTATTAACTATTTGTTTTATTTTAATTTGACTCTGGTTATGAAAGTTGTATTAGTGACACCTAAAATTATAATTAAGGTATGGCTACACTCAAAACC